GTGAAGTGTGTGTGACTATGTGTATGGTGTGTGTCTGTGTGTATGTTGTGTGCATGAGGTGTGTTGTGTGTGTATGTGTGGTGTGTGTGTGTGTGTGGTGTGTGTGTGTATGTGCAAGATGTGTGTGTGTGGTGTTTTGGCATTGTGTGTGTGTGCGCGTGGGGTCTTCATGGTATGTATGTATGTGGTATGTACATGGTGTGTGTGGTATGTATGTGTTTGTGTATACTGTGTGTATATGTGGTGTATGTATGGTATGAGTGTGAGCATGTCTGTGGCACATGTATATATGTGTATGATATATGTGTATGTGGTGTGTGTGTACATGGTATATGTATAGTATGTGTGTGTATGTGGTGTATGGTGTGTGTATACATGCTATGTATATGTGCATGGTGTGTTCATGGTGTGTGTATCTATATGTATGGTGTGTGAGTGTGTATATATGTTATTGTATGTGTATATCTGATGTGTGTGTGTATGTGTATGGTGTGTGTGTGTGGCGTGTGTATATGTGGTGTATGTATGGTGTGTGTGTGTACATGTGCATGGTGTGTTCATGGTGTGTGTATCTATATGTATGATGTGTGTGTGTGTGGCGTGTGTATATGTGGTGTGTGTATGGTGTGTGTGCGTACATGTGTATGGTGTGTATATGTGGGGGGTGTGTGTGTTATGTGTGTGTGTTATGGTGTGTGAGTATATATGTTACGGTGTGTGTGTACATGGTGTGTCTATGTGTGCGGTGTGTGAGTGTGTGGAGTGTGGGACTCCCAGAAGGGAGAAACACTGCAGCCAGGGCAGCGTGCCAACCTCCCGGCTCTGGGCTCTCCGTAAGCTCTCCCCTTCCCCAGGTGTTCTCAGGAATCTTCAGGAAGGGGCTGCCCCTTGGCCCAGCCTGGTCCCCAGCCGGCAGGGACACAGGCACCCAGAGGCCCTGGTAGACAGACCTGGTGACTGAATGGCTGAAGGAAGGAGGCTAGAAAACCCTTCGAGAACAGGAGACCCTCAGTCACTGCAGGGTGACTTCACATCCTTTCTCTGACCGAGCTTCCTCTGATTACATGACTTTCCAAAATAATTTTATTCCCAAAGTGAGAAGAACCAAACGGCCTGTGCACACAACGTCAGGACACAGCAGGCGCTCCTCCTGGGACGGTGGCAGACTTTCTCCTGAGCTTTTCCCCAGGATCACTTCCACCCCACACAGAGGCTCCTAAAGACACTCATGCCACATAAGCTTCCAGCAGATGCTCACAATCACCAACGTACCTTTTCACATTTCTAGTCCCAAATGTTTTGCGCTTCCCTTCAGGCGATTCTACCAGGTTGTCATCAGTCTGCCCTTAACGAAGTGCATGTGCACAGCCCTGTCTCCCACTGGTGTTGAGCTCTCTACTCACTTAGGGAGAAAAAGAAGGAACACAGCTACAACGAGTCAGCTCAGCCACATGCTCGAGGCTGGTCAGTTTCTTCCACAAAAGAATATTTACCATCTGCCTACGACCCTTGCTCCCTGCTATGAGCAGCTGAGTCCTATTTCTTTTCAAGATTATATTTTATGACTAAGGGGGAAAAGGTACAGGAAAGGCAATGTTTTTTTGGTCACAAGAACTGCCTTCAATAAAAATCGTATTTCAAAGATTCTATTTTACCCTATTGCAATGTTTCCTTGCATTCTGTTGGTTAAGCAATCTTTTGGTAATCCACACAGTTTGGGTTGTTGCGTTTTGTTTTGTTTTTTTCAACTTTAAGAGACTACACTGGAGTGAAAGAGAATAGCTCAAAAGTGTCTTCCCATTTCAGAAAAGTCAATGAATGCTACAAAGTAAACGGTGTTGAGGAGAAGACCATCTCCCCAATATCAGCTCCAAAACTTTATCCCAAATGTTTCGTTTCCATCAGCAGAAAGAATCAGCACTCGGGGCATATGATAGCACCACTTATTCTGAAACGCCTCATGTTAATCTGTGTTCTGGAGCCCGATGACTTTTGTGACTTTTCACTGAAGCAAAGAAAACAGCAACAAGGGACATCCCTCAGCTGCAGACCTTCACGACATTCAACCGGCTTTATTTGGACTAAGAAATGCAATTGTTCTCAGGAGGTGAAGGAGAGGAAAGTAAAACTGACATGCATGCTTTCTCATTGTCACATTTTGAACTTGGGTCTCTCACCACATTTACAGTTTAAAAACAAAAGCTAAAATAAACAAAAGGCTCCTGTCTTGCCAGACCCTAATTTACTCACCAATAGGATCTAGGGGTAATTTATGACTTGCCTGAGTTGAAATAAAAGTAACCCTCAAACTGAACAAAGATCAGAGGCCAAACACAATAGTTTCTCCAGCTTCTTCACCTGGAATCTTCCTGAAGATCTTGTGCACTCTGTAATCTTATTAATGAGACTTCTTGGTGGAACAAATAATCTATAAATGATGTCAGGAACTAAATTAATTAAAGTTGGCCCCAAGTACATGCATCACCATAGAAAATATGTTTTAATCTACTTATTGCTACCATATTAATAAATAAACAAATGGCATCCTAAGGTTGTTTTTGCTGTTCACTCAGTTGTGTCCAGATCTTTGTGACCCTATGGACTGCAGCACACCAGGCTTCCCTGTCCTCCACTATCTCCCAGGGTTTGCTCAAACTCATATCCATTGAGTCAGTGATGCTATCTAATCATCTCATCCTCTGCCACCGCCTTGTTCTCTTGCCCTCAATATTTCCCAGCATCAGGATCTTTTCCAATATCAGGAGAAAAATCATTAAGCCATTCTAAAAGAGTGCAGGCAATTTCCTTCAGACTGATGACTTTTCTTAAGATAAATGATCAAGCTCCATCTGTTACAGAATCTTTAAATACTGGCAAGACCCCTAACTGCAGAGTAGGACACACTCTCAAGCCACTCCCTTGGGTTAGATGGATTAATGCCCATATTTTGTTAAAACTACTTCAAGTAAGTAAAAATAGGTCAGAAAAAGGTGAAAGGGAGAATACTCAATTGTTTCCTGGTGCTCTACACTACCCGCATCGTAACAAGCAAGTCTCTCTCAGATAACAGAGATTTATACCCAGAAAGACCACTGCCTCGCTTTCTCCTTTATGCCCCCACGAGCGTAGCTGGTCTGTGGGCAATATCAGTGTACATAATTTTTCCATAGGAGGTTCACTTTCAAATGGGATGACTTTTTGTAGCATTATCCTCGTCATCCCCTTAAACTTGGCAAACTTTGGTTTTTTTATCTTACATCCTTTCATCATATGTATGCCTGCACACATGTGCACACATGCACAGGGGCTGGCCCCACTGGCTTACTCCCCCTTCCTGACTCTCCCGGCACACTGTGGGTCTGGGTAAACCCCGACCCCAAGGGGTTCAGGTTGACTTCGGCTGGAGTCCGGAGATCTGGGGCTAGATTCAAGCCACAGTGAGGCTGCACTTGGGCTCCCCTTATCCATTGGCACTATCGCAGCTTGCACTGTGGTGCAGGAAGTGTGGTTACAACTTCCACCCCTCAAAACAAGGAGGAAAAACTCAGGACGGGTTGGCCTAGGCCGCGTCTCTGAGGATGGCTTTTGTAGTCCAAAAGGCAAATGGCTTTGTGCAAAAAAAAAAAAAAAAAAAATTCTGTTCAAGCAAATTTCAAGTACTTTTTTCACTTTAAAGGCATCCGCCCATATGCCCATTTTCCTTCAACTACGATGAGAGGTTTTTTAGGGGACACTCTCCCCTTCGTCCTCTCTCTCTGCCTCTCGTTTCTAGTGTGGGTGGCAGCAGCCGTTTGATCTGCCCGTGGGCTCTGATTTGTTTCATGTTTCAGCCAAAGATGAAGACTGCTCTGTAATTCCAAGCAGATGGGCCGAGGAGCGCAACCCTGTAATTACACCTTCTCTCTTTCTCTGGCCCTCGAACTGCGAGTCTTCCAACCTGACTTTTAAAGTCTGGGATTGCTGGGGTTCTGGGTACACCTTGGCCTTCCGGCAGGTCTGTCCCAACCCAACTGGTTCACAGGGCCTTTGGGAGCTGTGCTGCCCACACCGCCTGCCTGAGCAGAATGACAGAGAAAACAGCCGCTCATGGCTCCCAGGGTGCTGCCCCACCCTCTCCTAGATGGTCTAAGGGGTCACTGCCTGATTGCCTTCTGAAGCTGGATCAGAAACCTAGAAGCCGTGAGGGTGCTGACCTGCTGATCTAACGTGCAGAGGTCACGCTGGGTGTGGAGACAGGAGAGCTCTGCTCCTGGTGGACACTCCACTAAAGGGCCAGGCGTTCACCTGTAGGGAAAGCTGGCCCAGGACATCTGGATCAGCACACGTGCTGCAGCCACCCAGCCCCACAAGTCTGCCTTCCCAACCCAGAGCAATGCTGTCTTACTTCCTTCACTGTGATTCCTGGAGCACTTGTAAAGCCTGCTGCTCTCTAGCTGGGGGTTTACTGGGGCCGCTGAGAACATGTGACACACGAAGCAGAAACAAAACCCAGGAGAGCAGGAGAGAAGCAAGCTCAGGTCCCGGAGAACTTAGGGGACTAGTTTTAATTACTGCCCCTCTGCTGCTGCGAGGACCCTGCTCCCTGAAAGTGCCTCCAGAGAACCTACCGGTCCACCTGGGACAGACCTCTCCCCAGCCCCTCGAGACACTCCTTCTCCAAGGGGCGCGCAAGATCACAGTCCTCTGCACGGTCCACCCTAAGCCTGGAGCTCAGCGCGAGCCCCCTGCGCTCTGACACTGTGAAGGGCGCACAGCCTGCTGGTCCTTGACGGCCTGTAGTCCGAAGCCCCGCAAAGTGGACACAAGTGTCGTGGGACCTGGACAGAAAGTCTGTGAGCGCGCGCCCTTCCAGAGAGAGCGCTACCGACGCCCGGGAACGCGAGCGTCTTCCAGGGCTCCCAGGAGAGGGGTTGTGCCTGGCCGTGGGGTCACCTCTGTTCTGCGGAGTCTCCGCCGGTACACCCTCGGCTCCGGTTCCCACCCCCGCTCCCCGGACTCACCGTGAAGCAGGAGGGCCGGGAACAGGGATGTGAGCAGGAGGCGGCGCACACAGGACATCTCCGGGCCTCCTCCGGGACCGCCCCCGCGCGCCGCACCGCTCGCCGTCCGGGGACCCAGCTCCCCGGGACCCGCCCGCAGCCCGGGCGGCGCGGCCCGGCGGCACGGGGACAGGGCCAGGCACGCTTCAGGCGGCCGCCGCGCGCCCCATGCCCGGCCTGGCCCCTCCGCTCCCGGCCTCCCGCCCCGTGCCCGGCCCTGCGCGCCCGGCCGCCTCGCGCCCGCCCGGCCGCCGCCGCCACTCCGAGCTGCACTGGCCACCGCCGCTGTGCCTCTTCATATTTCCAGAGCGCCGCCGCGGGAAGAGGCAAGGCGGGGCGTGGAGGGGGCGGGGCGAGAACAGGGCGGGGCTGGGGCGGGCCTGGAAAGGGCCAGGGGCGGGGCGGATTGGGGGCGGGGCCTGAAAGGGGCGGGGCGATTGGAAGGGCTGAATTGGGCGGGACATTGAGGGGCGGGGCGAGAACAGGGCGGGGCCTGGACGGGGCGGGGCGATTGCCAAGGGCTGGATGGGGCGGGGCGATAGGGCGGGGCCTAGAGGGGGCGGGGAGCCTCCCGACCCTTTGGAGGACTAGAAGGGCCCTGGGCTCCTCCGGCCCTGCTCCGCCGCATCGCCGCCCCTTCGCTCCCTTCCCCTCCCCTGTGCCTCCGGCTCTCCCCACATCCTTTCCCTCCTCTCATCCCGCGACCCTGTCGCGCCCCTTCTCTCAAACCTCATCCCCTCTCCTCCCCCAGGTCCGCCCCCCTTCCCTCCTCGACTCCCACTCTAGGACAGGTTCTCCTGCGAGGATTTCACAGCTCTAGGCCCGGGCCCCCCTCCCGAAAGGGGGAACACATGTTCCTCCCCGTCCCTGCCCGCCCCACTCCGGGCAGCTCTGGACCGGTGTCTTCCCTCCTCTCACCCGGGAGGATTCCCCACTTGTGCAAGTGTGGGGACAAAGAGTGGGGCGCTGCAAGGCCGGAGTCTGCAGTGGGTTCGAAGAGAGGTCCTCGTGCCAAGCTTGGGGTGTGTGTGCGACTGAGGGAGAGGAGAGGAGAGGTGGCAGAAGGGAGGAAAGGCTCCCCCGACCCCGGTTGGGGATGCTGAGCGCCTCCCCCCCCCGGGGGGGGGGGCGGTTCACGAGCAGGCCCAGGGAGGAGTGCAGACCCCTCTTCCAGTCTCCTTCTAGGAGACAAGGACTTGTGGGGACAGGGGAAGAATTTCAGGGGCACTTGGGAGTTTGTTCAGTTTTTCCTTGGCTTTGAAGACCCAAAGGCAGGGACAGCCAGGCGCTGCTTTTGGTCAAGTCAGCTGCCTTGTTGGCGGACTTGAGGCCTCACTCTGGTAGGCCTGGAGTTCTCTTCTGAGCTCCTCCACTGCTACCGGTCGCTCAGGAGGAGGTTTGTCAGTAAAGGAGGCTGAGTGTCACCTCACGCTGGCTGAGGAAAAGCAAGGACCACATGGAATCAGGAGGACGTTCTGGACTCTGCTGGTGTTTTTCATAAATAAAACACTTATAACAGAAGGTGTGACTTCCATGCGTTTTCTGCCCCTTTGAACAAAGTAGCATCAATAATTCAACTCTTTGTGTTATAGACTCTCAGCACTAGTTGGACTTTAGCATCTGCGTAAAACTTGGTAAAACAGATGAGGACATGTGTGACAGTTTCCATTTTCTTTTTCCTGAGAAAGCCACAGGTCTTTTGATGTGATGGTGCTGATACTGTTTGATGTTCTTTAATTTTTATCACCATCACTATCACCTTTCATCTTTAGTTTGAGGGATCATAACAGGCACCACCTGCCTACCTCACAAAGATGTGGTAAGGGTTATGTGCCTGTGTTTGAAAATCTGGAGATGAAAGACTCATGTGTGAAAGAAGGGACAGTTGTGTCATAAAACCTTGGAGCAGGAACATAGCTGAGTTGAGCTTGCATTGCAGCATCTTTCTCTGGACCAACTCTTCTCCATCCCTTGCTTGTATCTGTTTCTAGGTTTGGGTAGTCAATTATGACCTGTGGGATTTGAATGTTGCCCATGGGTCAATAGGGTTTAAAGCAGGAACTTGATTTCCTCGTGAATGTTGGGCAGTTGGGAATGATATAAACAGCATATTTGACTGCTTAAACAGGACTTAGCCTTGTCACCAACAATACATACTGGGAGGTGTCTAGCTTCTCTATGCCTTTTGTCATTGGATGCCTTTTAGTCTATCAGGAAACATTTGAAGCAAGCAAATGACATGAGAGAGTGTTAAGGATGATGTGTTTATGTACAAGCAACTGGTCATTGAAATGTGAAGGTCATTCATTGCATGTTAGCAGAACAATTAGGTGATAATTTTCATAAATGATTATTTGATCCTGTCATTTAAAAGGAGAAGAAAGCCAACAGGTCAGCCATGATTTGGTGTCATCATAACCATCAAGTTGATACCATTTTTGTCTTTCCAACTGGTCTTACTGGTGTGGTAGAAACAGACCCAGAATGATGTCACCAGTTTCAAACCTGTTTTGCCAGTTTATTTTCCACATGTGATGTCATCACTTAAAATGCTCGACCCTTAACATCTAGCCAGAGTTGCTGCTCCCAGAAATTCCCTCACCACCTTGTGCTGGTCTAGAAAGATAGAGTGTTCTCTGTATAGGGCTCATTTTCTATATTATTTTTTGCGGTTGATATTAGTGTACTCACTTCTGGAAGAGAACAGTGATAAACAAACAAACAAATGGTTTAAGTTTGTCTTAGAGTGATTACATGTGGATAGATGATTAGAGTCGCTGAATTGGAAGGGAGGCATTTCCAGGCAGGTAATAAAGTGACTATGGGCTGCACCTCAGAAGCTGGCCCCCTGAAACCAGCACAAAAAACTTCCCTGGGGCACTTGTAAGGACCAAGTCTTGAGCAGGTCCTGGGGTGTTGGGAGAATTCCAGGCAGGCACAGCTGGACAAGATGCCCTTAGCAGCATCAATAAGCAAGCATGTTAGACTATTTGGAGCTACTCATAAATAACTTTTGTCATGTTGATGGGGAAGAAGAAACACAAAGTGGCTGCTCCAGTTCAGAGGTGCACTTGGAACCCGTGACTGTTCAGTCACCCACTCACAAGGCCGCTCACATGTTTGCCAAGAGGTCTTTTTCCACGAGCATTGAAGATCCTCGGAGCCTCTGTCGCTGGCTCAGTCTTTGAAAACCAGACCTTTGCTCTCCCCCAGTAACCGTGGATCATGAGCAGGTTTTCAGGGATGGACTGTGCTGGACACAGAGCTTGGATGGTCGCCTTGGCTGGATTTTCTCAGAAGGTGTCTCGTATCTTAGGGAGCAGAGGGCAGTTCAGTGTCACTTGCGTTATCTTGGGAAATGCAAGGACCAAAATCCTTTAAAGCTTTGGCCACAATTTGGTTTCCTAATGTCTGTGAAATTGACCTAAAGGTGTGCAATCCTGCAAATCATTTGGAATTTCGAAGATCCCAGGCCTTTCAGTTCTTGAAGAAAAGGACAGTTTTAAGAAGGATCAGAGGCGGACTTCCCCAGCATTCCATTGGAGCTAAGATCCCACAGGCCAGAGGCACATCACAACTAGAGAACCTGCACTGTCATGAAGATCCCACATGTCCCAACGGAGATCTGATGCAGCCAAATAAATAATTTTTTTTTTTTAAAGAAGAGTCAGAGGAATTAAAGCATCTGTCTGACCGTGAATGTGGTTGAAAGCATCATGCCACATCCTCAGAGGATGGGCAAGGTCTCCAGGAATAGACTTCTCTCATAATTTGCTATTAGATGTCAATGCCAAGCCCATGACACCACGGTGATACCTCGGTACGTAAGAGCCCAGAGGAAAGAAACGGAGCTGGGTCACCTCCCTACCCCTTTGATCACCTGAGCCATTGTTTCCAGTATTTCACCCACAGCAGAGCTTCACTGGTAAAGACAAAAAACTTGAAAAATCCTACACATCTTCCTCAGAGGCAGAGCTAATAAAATTATTCGGAAGAGTCCTTAGAAAGGGATGGCCTTCTGGGTTGTATCTTTAAGACATGTTAATTAGAGCAAACTCTATTTTGAAATGCATCTCTGTTTAGATGCATCTCTGAACAGCAGTCTTCTGAGCTTAAGAAGTTAAACTTTACTTTCCATTCTACATTCATAGTTGTCAGAGAAAACATTCAAATGTTTGTGAGCTTAGCAACCGTTCCTTCATCCACCCACCCACCCATCCATCCGTTAGCACATGTTAATCAATTGCCAAGTGGTGGTGCTAGCCCTAAAGAATCCGCCTGCCAATGCAGGAGACATAAGAGGACACAGGTTCAATCCCTGAGTCAGGAAGATCCCCTGGAGGAGGAAATGGCAACCAACTCCAGCATCCTTGCTTGGAGAATCCCTTGGACAGAGGAGCCTGGTGGGCTAGAGTCCATAGAGCTGCAAAGAGTCCAAAATGACTGAAGCAACTTGGCACTCGAGCATCTGAAAACAAGGGCAGACATGGATAAGGCTGATTCAGTCTAACCGTCTCTTCACCCTATGTCACAAATTTGTCTGGGAGCTGCTGACAAACTGAAGCCCTCCCCACTGAAAGAAAATAGAGATCCCCCAGGGGCATGAGACAATACAGGACTTGAGTAGCATTTCTGTCGTACTTTCACATCCTCTTATAGCATGCTTTCCTGTAGGGCTGGCTGGCTGCGAATTGCTTTATTTGCTCCACTCGATCATCTGGCTCTTTGAGGAAAGGAAGAAAATTGGGTATTATGTTACATCTCCTCCCCTGGCTCCTTCGCAAGACTTTCCATAATGGGCGTTTGTTGTGCTGGTTGATGAGGCTGGATAAGATCAGAGCATCAAGAAAGAGTCTTTATGAGGCCAACACGACCCTTGGCCACCGCAGGACACGGCGACAGAAGCAGGAGGGAACACAGAAGCTCTGGCAGTCAACCCCAGCATGCGCTAGGTTGTTAGTGCACTTGTAGCAACGTTCAGACAAGCTTGACAAATGAGAGGCAGGATGGTGCTCGACT